AGTACTTACCTACGGACGAAAATCCACTCGCCAAATCTAACACGCCTGTTTCGACTTAGCCGCCGTAGGTTACACGAAAGTTGGAATAGTTTAGCGACAGACTCGCCGATTTCCGAGACGACACCATAAATTACAAGTCGACCATGTAAAAAAATCAAGCTCATATAAATTTTAAATTTTAACTTCCTATTTACTTCACATTTAATAAAAACCAAAGTCGGTAAATATTATTTCATTAGTTCCTTCACTGATCTGTCAGTATCATTTTGTCTTTATCAGTAATATTTGATACATGTGTCAGAAGAGACTAAGAAAAAAAATTAGAAAATGTGTATATATAATAATGTATACATAAAAATTAACTTTGTATAAACTAATTTGTTTAAAACATCTAAGGAAAAATAATAATAATATTACACTTCGCTGATATTCATTCGTTGTAATTCAATCAGAGATTGCTGATGAAAAGTTTCGTGATGTTGGAAACCATTAATTGGAGCACTAATATGAAAATGAGGAATGAGGCCCGTGTATCGATAGCGTAGTGGTTGCGCTCCCGGGCCTCCAATCGCAAGGTCGCCGTTTTGAATTATATTTGAGACAAAAACCGTGACAGGATCGCGATTGAAGCTCATGGGACGCTGCAAGATAAAATACAAAATAAGGACACCTCCGGTGAAATTCCGATCGAAAGATCCAAGAGCTCCAGTAAAAGGACAGTTCTGGTAAAATCTCCCGATAGTAGTACCGATATATAGATAATTAACTCATGTAATTTTTAAAATGTGGGATCTTACAAATTTAGAAGACCCTCTTAATAAAAAAATGAGTTAATTAAGATTTGTACACCCCCAGCGTCTTGCGATCAAGCAGGTTTTTTAAAAAAAAATGGGGACAAAATTCTGTTGTATTATCTAATAAAAGAATTTGATTAGATCTGTGCTATCCTGTGTGGTTCGGGCGCGAAAATTTTTTAAGCAGGCAGACCTGCAATATGCAAATGCAGTTATAAATCAAACAACATAGTTATTGAGGACCAGAGCCATGCATAGGTAGGTCAGATCTATGCTTGCTAATTTTCTCTAAAAATGGTTATTTTTGACAGAGATTTAAAAAAAACTTGCCGTGTAAAAATACAATGTCTATCGAATTTCTCTCTTAAAATTTCCTTTTTTAGTATAGTTGTGATCCTAATAATTGTGTATTACGTATTGTATAGACTAATTTATTTAAACCAACATCTATTCATTTCCGGTCCATTATAAACAATTTTTGTCTTAACTAAGAGAATATAGAATAATATGTATGATGGACATATAGTATTATCTGTAATTAGGAAATAATGGCTTCATTGTATAAGTTGAAGCACCTAAAATTTTCTTAATCGTTTAACATAGCCGGCATTAAGACAATTCTGTCAAACAATTTTTATACGGTTAAACTGTCCCACTCTTTAAGTTATTGCTAAGTACTGTATATATCTGTTCATATCGATATAGAAGATCAAAATTTAAGCTAATCAAATTCATCAATAATGTAGTCTGTTGTGATTACGTAATTTCATGGTAAATCCATAGGATACATGAGAAAAATAACGATTAAAAGACTGTTTTCAGGACTGAAGGATCAGTCCTATTAGAATCCGGACCGGATCAATCCAACTCTACACTTATACGTACTATTTTGATGGCATTACGCAAGAACAATTCCTATACAATTATGTTGACATTAAATTCACTATTTCGAGTTCGGAAATTTTACAAACGAACAAAAACGCCCAATAAGTAGTTTATTATAAAATTAATCTCCAAATAAGAACAAGAGTTGATATATATGACAAAAATGATACATCATATAATGTATATCTCTTGAAAGTGGAGTAAAAATTATTTACAATTTATAAATAAATTTTAAATGATTAGGTGAAACAAAGCTTTAAGAAACCACCTTTTTCTTAGTGGCGTAAGTACAGAACTAAAATAATATAAAAATTTAAAATAGACATCAAGTAAAAAAAAAAAAATAAATTTATTAGTCGATTACACAGGAAAGAAAATTTATTGAACTCGGTCAAATAGTTAGAACTTTACCTCATCAAAGAGAATAATACCACCCTTATTCGCATCTATCTTGTCGAATTCTTCTTTAAGCTCATTGTCTGAAAGGCCATTTAATTTCATAAACTTACTCCCATACTTGAAATCATCCAAATTGATGCGTCCATCCTTATCTTTATCAACTTTTTGAAAAATTTCATATAGTTCATAATAATGGTTAAGAGAATCAAGGAGACAGCTAAATTCTTCGATTTCAACGTAACCGTCCTGAGCAAATATTAATGTTTTAATTTGAAGAATGAAAATTCATGCTAAGAATTCATATATTAATAAGTACATATACAGTAGTACGTATAACTTTTACAAACCTTGGATTTATCTGCAGCTTTATAAGCTCGCATTATGACCTTCTTTTTGTCCTTGAATTGTGGATAGGCTCTGAGTGCAGCACTTTCAATTTCATTATAAGATAATTTGCCGTTTCCATTTGTATCGAAGGATTTGAAAAGCTGATACGATGATTTTCATAAATTGAAAATTACGAAATACGTTTATAACGAAATTAATATTATTGCTAATTACCTTTTCAATTTCCTCTTTGGTTAATTTGTCAGCCATGAATTTTGGATTTTAAATTTGAGTATTTTTTTTTGTTTGAGTATTAAATATGATTATTTGAAAAATAGAATTATTTGATTTTTTTTTTTAGCAGGCTGGAATATGAATGACTTTTATACGTATTATTATATCTGCCTCAATCGTAAATTTCAAGTTATTAACGACAAATATGGTTATTGTAGTGTACTTTATATTAATAAAAATACGATAAGCTAAACTCTTTTTGTAAGACAGGCTTTATATGTATGTACGTACATGTTTTAGGAATATTTTATTCTGTCCATTTTGAATAAATTTAGTCATGAACTAAGCCATATCTATTATAAATTTATACACGTATGCATTGAATTACTATAATTGGATGATTCAATAACTTTATACTTATGAAATTCAATTATTAAAGTTAGCGATTATCAAAAAAAGGTGTCTTAATCGCATATTTATTTAAAGAAATTCGGTTAGGCACAGTGTTCTTTTTTAATCATGTTTAAGCTTATCGTTATTAACTGGATTTTGGTTTCGTCAGCCAATCTCTAATAAGGATAAACAAAATGATGAGAGGTCTTGAAATTATACCATATGATAATATGTTTGCATTATGCAGGTATACTTTTTTGTAGGCTAGTTTTGTAGTTGTAACAATTTAGAAATTATTCAAAACAATATAAACAGTAATTAGTGACAATAATATATTATATTGAAGACTATTTGTATTGTTGGATGGTGCAAAGACGGGGCACTCTGTTTTTACGATTTTGTGTTATCAGCATCGCCATTTGTTTCTGCAATGCTGATTAGTTGGACATAAACATAATTTTATGCATACTAAGTTTTTTTATAGTATTATTTGGTTTATCGAACCAGTTTGTGTGCAAGTTGTATAAATATAGAAACGCTGGGTAACATAATGTACCACCAATACTTTAACATCGATAAAGAAGCTAAAGACTTGATCTAAATATCAATGTTTAATGTCTTATTGCGGTAATCACTGGGTCCACAGTAAGAAGTATTTACTCTATTTTCATAATTCTTATTTTTCTTAGTATAGATTCTTCAGGGTGATCCTGTTACGGTTGTTATTACGATCTATCCTTACTTATAGATGCACTAAAAAATAGGAATTGTTTTTAGTTCGATGTTTTTTTTTGTCATTAACACCCTTTAACATTTAGCACAATAATTTTACAATTAATAATAAAATTGTCGTAAAATGCTAATTACTAAATTTTCATTTCCATTTTTATATTAATAAAAATTATGTACATAACTCTAGCAAAATTCACAAATATACTTTAAATGAATACGTGTGTAAATTTTTAATAGAGAAATATACAGTTATTAGCTATTTATTTCTCTTTTCTGGTTTTTTCTCGGCAGATTTTTTTTTTTTTTTTTACCAATAATAATCAAACAAGATTAAATTCACGTTTCCAAGAAGACATTCATGTGGTTAAAAAAGAAATTCATTAACCAAGTTGTTCATTGTCTATTATGAATTACTCAATTTTGCTTAATCTTCATGATTTCAGCATGTGCATTTATTTAACAACGAGGTCTGTGTGGGAAAAACAAAAGTGCAAAAATTCTCAATCAGGTTATGATCAGGAATATCGTAGATCTTGATGAGTTTGGAATGGGCCATTAATATCATCTGCAGCTATTTAACCGCTATAAAGTTCACGCTGATTAGAGTGTACATTACGTATTAAATTTGTACTATTATACATTATTTATAAAGTTTAGAATACTTTTTTAAAAAAACGAAAACCAACCATAATAAAGTTAAAAAAAACAATAATGAAGGTTTCATCAGAGCTGTAGGACTTCATAGTCAAAAATAAGATCTAATTCTTGTCCGTTTAAAAAAATTAGCTTAGTAATAAGTCGATTCTATCGGGTTTTGAGAAGTTATTACTATACTAACTTTTTTAAACGGACGAGAATTAGATTTTATTTTTGCCTAAAGAGTCCTACAGCCCTAATGAAACCTTTTATACAGCCTTTTTTTATTTCATTATGATTAGTTTTTTGTTTTGTTAAAAAGTACTTTAAACTGTAAAATAATGTAAAATTAAATTGAATTTATTAACCAATCAGACAAAATTCTGCCTATTAGGTTACTAAAATTCCGGTCGGATACCTCGGAATCATGATCGGCGGGCCGGAATTAACTAATTTTGCCAAGATCACTAAAAGTTTTACTAATGAAGTCATGACTAGGGATAATTATTTTGTTACGTTTTATGTAAATTTCATTGTAACTTTACATTGAATAGTGCATTAACACATGATAATTTTACCGACATTACAAGAGTTTAGCCTGCACTAATAGATATTGTGAGCGGTAGGATGGTGGCGTCAGAACCTCGTTAAAGCAGGTGATCGGTGTGGCGCAGTAATGGACTAACGACTATGTCAATCACCTACCTAAAATGGGTTTACCGACAGCATGGGTATCAACGCAATAAGGGGAATCAGGGGAATCAGTGGGATATAGAATATAAGTAAAATAATCAGTATAAAAATTATCATCGGTATAATTAGTATAAACGTTATAAAGTAATATAAGCGATATATCACGAATAGAGTGTATAACGTGTCCTATGTAAGTGAAAGTATATAATAAAGGCTTCGAGCCCTACGAGAAGACAGTTAGTTGTTCGTGACCCACATAAAATTCTGACCCCTAATAATAAAACCTTGCTTTCATTCCAATATAATACCTACGATCATAATACAAATCTAACTGCCTCTTATCGACTAAGCCGTTCATAGGTTACACAACATACAGTATCCGTTTGAGAAGCGACTGACTCGCCGTTTCGCTCGTGTCAATATCCATCATTATGTAACAGGAGGAACCGTCGATGTTACACAACTGATTCTTCACTCGGTGTGCAAAATATAAAAAAATTATTTTACATCATTCCGCTAGTACATGTTATGATTATAATCCCACACCATTTTATTATAATAAAAATGGTGTGGGATTATAATCATAACATGTACTAGCGGAATGATCTGGTATTGTTTCATTATGTTCGGAATTGTAATTTTTATTTATTTTTAATACTAGCGTTATAAAAATTTTTGCAAAAATCATTCACATGATAAAAATTACATGTAATTTTGATTTCAAAAACTTACATAAACTTACATGTACGTATAATTACGTAAAATTACGGAAATTTCCAACCCTAGTCATGACCCACTCATTAAGTAAAGCTGCCCAGCTGATAATTTTGACCCAGAAATGCATGACTTGTATTGCTAAATGCCGGCCTAAATCCGATGCATCCGACCCAGAAATTTGATGATCCTTCCTCTGTAAAAATATTTTTCGAGGACTAGAGGTTAGTTATATAGTAAAATCGCTCAAGGGAACTTTTGTTAAGACACTAAAGGTGGTTTTTTTATGAATAGGTTTTTAAAAATAAGCGATTTTTGACAAAACGAACGTTTGTTTGATCGACATTGAGATTTTGCTATCTTTTTTGATTTGCAATCAATCTGAAAAACTAGTATCACCAGTTCTAAAAAATTTCGCACATCATGTGATCTTAGTGCAAAAACCAAGAAAAGAATTTCCGCTAAGAAACAAACATTTCGATATTAGTGCATTACAAGTAAGTTAGGTTTAGAGGGTTTTAATTATACCAAAATTTTGCAAGGAAAACTTTTTGTTAATACGCAGAAGGCAGTTTCATGGGCAATATTTCGAGTTACAGACGATTTTTGGATTGTTTTGGTTTGAACTTTTTTCGCGTTACAACTGAGTTCGAAATTTGATTGGTCAGCGAAATTTTTTATACCGGCGATCTTAGAATTGTTGTTGTGCGCATGTGACAACGGACGATCTACAGACGCAAAACATTCATTTTGTCACTCATCGAGGAGGTGCTGTGCCAAGAACTAAAATACATAAAGAAAATGAAACACATTTACGGGTATTCTGTCTCTGCTGCTTCGTGCACACTTCCTAGATCAACGCAGAATTTAAGAGCATCGTCAAAGTGTAAGTAAGCATAAAAACACACGTAAAACCCCAATAGGGGTAAAATAAAGTGCAACTAGCGTGCCAACAAGATGCACTCATGTTCAATGCTGGTCCGATTGCTGATTTCTTCGTGACTATCGTCCCGATAGGCCACTTAGACTATATTGACTGTCGTCCGACAGGCCAAAACTGAACTCATGAAAACCAGATCTAAAATACAAGGCTCACCAACAAGCTTACCAACCGCATCTGTTCAAGCCCGTAAGGGTGGGAAAGGACGGGACGAAAAAACCAGACAAAGTCGAGTTAGCAGAAAAAACAGAAATTATCTTGTCTGGGGAAAAACCCGTTCCCTTTAAATATGCCCTTACGCTTACAAATCGAAAAACTACGTAATTACGTCGTTACCACATAAACTCTAACGACGTAATTACGTTGCCACTATAACTAACTCTAACGATCACCCCATCGAAAATATTACGTAATTATGTAACCATACGATAGACTCCAACAATTACACATAAAAATACTACTAAATTTCAAATCGAAAATACTACGTTATTTCAACAACCCATTTGCATACTACACCCCTACAGATCAAGCAATAAATCATAATAATATAATCATTCCCCTATTAATCAAGCAATAAATCATGATGATATAATCATTCGACCAATTAATTGCACTCCGTGTTCGATTCGAGACAAAATGCTGCTCTGATACTTTCGTATCGGGCAGCTAATTTTTGATACCCTAAAATTTCTACTTATACTTCTTACTGATATCAAAAATGTAGGTTTTGCAGATCGTACCCCTATGAACGGGTTTGTATCATGTTTTTTTGTGTTACGCATGTATTGTTTTTTTAATTTATAGGCAGTTTATTTGTTTACGTTTTTTTTATAACAATAACGTTAACACGAAAATGGTCTTTCCAAGAACATGCAAAAGAGGCAAGAAGTTTTCTAGTCAATAAAGTTTATTGATTCTCGAGAAGGAA